GCCATAAATTTACTTCAAGTAGAGCTAAAGGCTGTGTACCATTGGGATGAGTTCCCTTTGCTTCTTGTGCCAAATCCAAACAGTAAATGAGAAGACATTCCTCCAAAGTGAGGGAATCCCTGGTTGTCACCAGGGGCACCAGAACTAGTCCCCTTTAGAAGAGTTATCCTTTGTTTCTATTCTGGTGACAACCCATAATTTATAATTTTATTTCATTTTTGGTGCTAGTGGTAAACAGGGCAAATAATAAATCTCTTGGACAAAAAAAAAAAACACAGGCATTCTAATTCCTCTCCAGTCTACCAAAGACTAAAGAAAAGTTTTGCCTTTTTGTTTTTAAACTCTATTATAACCTCCTTAAACCACAAACTGTCCAGCAACCCTATTCACATTTAATGGGCACATTGTGAATTAACCTTATTATGGTGGACAAGTCACAAACCCTTACCAATCACTTTATCAGGGAAAACTACTATTTTTTGTTATGATACTTACAAACCAGGAATGGTATCAGATAATGTAGCTTTACAAGGTTGTGATAGTTATTCTCAAACAGCATTATTACCTTGGGGTTAACTGAGACACAGCACTGACCCATGTCATAACAATATCTCAGTAATGGTTTGCTTTATTTGATGACCCACTAGACCCAAAGTAGTTATGAAAAGGGTCTATTGAGGTAAACTGCAGAATAGATTGGAAGTTCCATATGCAGCAAAATATTATGCAATCCAGACAGCACAGCTAGGACTACTGCACTCTGACAAATATCCACTTGTGGGTGAATATTATAGCCAATACCTGTCTGCCTAGCTACATTTTTACTTAGAATTGTCCACCATTCTAAAGAGAGCACCTGGTTAATAATACAATCACTAAAATGAAAGTATTACAGTGCATTCATAAGTATTCAGACCCCCTTCACTTTTTTCAGTTTTGTTGCAGCTTGATATTAAAGTTGTTTAATTTCATTTATTTTTCTCATTAATCTGCGCTCAGTACCCCATAATGACAAAGTGAAAAGAGAATTTTAGAAATGTTTACAAATTTATGAAACAGAAAAAAATCAAATATCATATTGGCAGAAGTATTTACACCCTTTGCAACAACACTTGAAATTTAGCTCAGGTGCCTCCATTTCTCTTGATCGTTGCTGAGATGTTTCTACACCCTGATTGGAGTCCACCTGTGGTAAATTAAATTGATTGGACATGATTTGGAAAGGCACACACCTCTCTATAAAAGGCCTCACAGCTGACAATATACTGTATCAGAGCAAAATCCATGAGATTAAAGAAACTACCTGCAGAGCTCAGTGACAGGACTATTGTAAGCCACAGATCTGGGGAAGGCTATAAAAAATTCTGCTGCACTGAAGGTTCCTAAGAGCTCAGTGGCCTCCATAATTCTGTAATGGAAAAAGTTTGGCACAACCAGGACTCTTCCAAGAGCTGGTTACCCTGGCAAACTGAGCGATTGGGGGAGAAGGGCCTTAGTAAGAGTGATGACCAAGAACTCAATGGTCAATCTGACTGAGCTCCAGAGATCCTGTATGGAGATGAGACAAATTTCTAGGACAACCATCACTGCAGCCCTCCACCAATCTGGGCTTTATAACAGAGTTGCTAGACTGAAGCCTCTCCTCTGTGCAAAACACATGAAAGCCCACTTGGAGTTTGCAAAAAAAAAGCACCTGAAGGACTCTTGACTGTGAGGAAGAAGATTCTCTGATCTGTTGAAACCAAGATTGAATTGTTTGGCCTCCATTTCTAAATGTTATATCCAAAGGAAACCAGGCACCGCTCTTCATCTGCCCAATACCATCCCAACAGTGAAGCACGGTGGTGGCAGCATCATGCTGTGGTGTGTTTTTTGCAGCAGCAAGTACAGAAATATCCATAATGAAAACCTGCTCCACAGCACTCAGAACCTCAGACTGGGCTGGATGATCACCTTCCAACATAACAACGATCCTAAGCACACAGCCAAGACAATACAGGAGTGGCTTAGGCAACTCTGTGAATGTCCTAGAGTGGCATAGCCAGAGCCCTGACTTGAACCGTATCAAACATCTCTGGACAGACCTGAAAATGGCTGTCCACCAACAATCCTAATCTAATCTGACTGAGTTTGAGAGGATTTTCAAAGAAGAATGGCAGAAAATTCCCCAATCAAGGTGTGCAAAGCTTCTCATGTCATACTCAAAAAGACTCAAGGCTGTAACTGCTGCCAAAGGTGTTTCAACAAAGTACCAAGTAAAGGATCTGAATACTTAAGTACAGAGACATTTCTAAAACTCAGTTTTCACTTTGTCATTATGGTGTACTGAGTGTAGATTAATGAGAAAAAAATGAATTTAAACTGTAGCATCAGGCTGTAATTTAACAAATTTGAAAAAAGTGATGGGGGTCTGAATACTTTATGAATGCACTGTAAGTTGAAGTTAAGTTTAGTCAGAGAATTAACCACTTCAGTAAAAAATAACCAGAATTTAATTTTAGTACACACAAATGCAATCTGGTACATTAATTCTGGTACATTATAAAGGTGCTTATGCCAAGTAAATAGATTCCTAACATGTCAAGCTTTAAAATTAGGACACGTGCCATTAAAATGATTATGAACATAGGTATCCTATATTTAACATGGGTAATGCTTCCTACAGATCATCTCTTGAGAGTTAACCATGAATAATGGCCCTAGAATTAGTGCTCTTACTCCAGGGTGCATGGCATATGCAACGTGTAGTGCAAGAAACAATGTGTGCTTGCATTCATATGTCCGTGTACATGAGGACGGGCTCAAAATTTTTAATTGGGGGGGGGAGGCGGGGGTGTTAAGGCATGCTTCCAAGAGCTGTTAAAGTGAACAGGCAGCTGTAGAGCTGCCCTATCACTTTAATCAGAAAGATGACAGTTGGCTTGTGAAACATACAGTTGTGCTCAAACATTTGCATACCCTGTCAGAAATTGTGAATGTATGGCATTTATATTGCAAATATGACTGATCTTGCCAAAAAAGAGTCTTTTGTTAGTGATTATAAGAAGCCATTTATTATCACATAGTTGATTGGCTCCTTTTTAAATCATATTGATAACAGAAAATCACCCAAATGGTCCTAATCAAAAGTTTACATATCCTGGAATGTTTGGCCTTGGTACAGACGCACAAGGTGACACACACAGGTTAAAATTGCAATTAAAAGTTTGTTTCTCACATTTGTGACTTTTTACATTGCATTTGGTGTCTGTGTATAGAAAATAGTCAGTTTGTTAGCTCTCAGGTGGATGCACTGAGCAGGCTGGATACTGAGCCATGGGGAGCAGAAAAAGAACTGTCAAAAGACCTGCACAACAAGGTAATGGGACTTTATAAAGATGGAAAGGGGATACAAATGATATCGAAAGCCTCAAATATGCCAGTCAGTACTGCTCAAGCACTTAAGTGGAAGGTTCAGGGATCTTTGGATCCCAAGCCAAGGTCAGGTAGACCAAGAAGGATTGCAGCCACAACTGCCAAAAGAATTGTTCCTGATACAAAGAAAAAACCACAGGTAACCTCAGAATAAATTATAGGGTGCTCTGGAAAAAGACGGTGTGTTTTTTTGTTTTTAAGTAGAAAAATATGAAAATACTTGAACAATGGTTGAGTTGCCAGAAAAGAAGCCTATACTGCGCCAATACCACAAAAAAGACCGGTTACAATATGCCTGACATCTTGACACGCCTCACCAGGCTTTTTTTTGTAGCATTGGTGCAGTAAAGGCTTCTTTTTGTCAACTCGACTATTTCGCTCATATTTATTCAAGTATTGTCATACTGTGCTCCTTGAAACAACCACACAATCTTTTTCCAGAGCAGACTGTATTTCTCCTGAGGTTACCTTTTCTTTGGGTTGTTCTTTGTATCCCGGACCATTCTTCTGGCAGTTGTGGCTGCAAACTTCTTTGGTCTACCTGACCTTGACTTGGTATCGAGATCCCCAAACTTTCCACTTCTTTAATAAGTGATTGAACAGGCATATTCAAGGATTTGGATATCCCCTTCTATCTTTATAAAGTTTCATTACCTTTTTAACCATGTCTTTTGACAGTTCTTTTCCTGCATCGCATGGCTTATTATCTAGCCTGCTCAATGCATCCACCTAAGAGCTAACAAACTCACTATTTTACACACTAATTGCAATGTAAAAAGTCACATGTGTAGAAAATGAACCTTTAATTGCCATTTGAACCTGTGTGTGTCACTTTGTGTCTGTCCTGAGGCCAAACCATCCAGAGTATGTAAACTTTTGATCATGGCTATTTGGGTGATTTCTGTTATGATTTAAAAAGGAGCCAAACAACTATGTGATAATAAATGGCTTCATATGATCACTATCTTTAAATAAAAGACAGTTTCTTGGCATGATCAGTCATATTTTCAATATAAATGCCAAAATGTAATGATTTCTGCCAGGGTATGCAAACATTTGAGCACAACGGTATATGCATTCCTGGCTGCTGTAACAGGTCTATGTGTACAACACTCTAATGCCACTTACATATAACATACGTTGGTGGCAGTAAAAGGGTTAAGTGCTTGCTGGGAGAGTATGTTCAGAGTATGCCGGGATCCCCCCAAACCCCAGAGCTCTATTAGACATTTGTTGACTCTACAGCTTGCAGGATTACCTTCAGACTTGGAGATGTATTGAGGCAGTTATTAGACCACAAAAAAACAATATTGGGGTTTATATATATGTATCCACAGTAAATTGGGAGTTGTCGTTATCAAACTGCTAAAATGAGATGCTATTTTCCCAAAAAATGTAAATGACAGAACAGAAGATTCACATTTTTAAGATGTTTTTTTTTTTTTAAAGATGTGACTAGGATTGGGAATTGATGATTTTGTTTTTAAAATGATGAAAATGTAAAATCTTGCCACATGCAGGTTGTTCATGTGTTTTATTAAGAAAAATGTTAGTGTGTATAATATATTGGCATTTTATTTTGTCAGAAAACTAAAAGAAAACTTGAAGATGCTTTGCAAAGGTTGGAGTGTTTATATGACAAGCTAAGAGAAAACTCAGTAAGTATTTAGTGTTGTGAAATGCAAATCTTACTAAAGTTTTAATGCGGCTTGAAAAAAGCACATTTATAAGACACAGTGATGTACTTTACAAATGTGATTAGCACTATGTTAGTTTCTGGACTTCAAAAGTGATATCTGCTTTCCCTATTAAGCGTCCTCCCAAGTATTTCAGTGTGGTGAAACCGTCTACACCAGTTTATACCTAACCTACCGATGGACATCAAATGACTGAGATACATTGTTATGATATCAGTGAGTGCTGTAGATTGCTCTCCAGCCTCTACTCTTCATTTGTCAGATTTGACTTTTGGTGTAATATTTTGTGGCCTCTGATTTGTTCTGTGTTCAGATCTGCAGGTGTTATGCCATCTTGTGTGTACTGTACTCAGTGTGAAGTCCATAGTTCTGTACATTGCATGACATGACCATTAATGCCAATGTCATAATATCTATGTTCATTTCCTGATTGTATGGTACAGAGCACAGCCTTCTATAAATCCTTACAGATGGGTTACATGCAGCTACCTTCAGGTGACTGGACACTGACTGAAAAAAAAAAAAAACCTGAAGGAATGTGTTGTATAACCCCTCCCATCCCAGCTAGCCTTAGTTTTGTAGCAAGTAATAAGAAGATCACAATAACAAAGAGCCATATACTGTGCTCCAGGAAACAGGTGGTTCAAAATCCTATTGTCATTCTGGTATAGTACAGGACAAAAGCTTTTTTTTTTATATCCTTACACATGGGATGTCCAAAATTAGTTCAACTAAGAGGTGGACAACAACGTCAACAGGACCACAGCCAAACGGGTCAAGAAGGCTCGATTAAACTCAGGGAGCAGCCTGTATCACCTTATGCCTGAAAATGATATCAGAGGAGGCCTGAACAACCACCTTGTAAAACATAGAGGAACTAAACCTATCAATATGTTTCCCAGAAGGGTTACATTCAAGGTTTGCCTCGAATGATAACGGTTACATTTATTGGTAGGCTTATGTTGGCTCTCCAACAAACTGTCATTAAATGGCTGGTGTCATAGCTGATCATGTGCAGCACCATAGAAGCTAAAATGGCAGCTTCCTTGGCTTTAAAGGATAGCAGGGTTTAGTTCCACTTTAACAAACATGAGAGCCAAAGTTCAGATGGCAGCCTTGCAAATTTTAGATACAGATGTCTGGTGCTGACAATCCAATGAATTACTAACATATCTGGAAGAACTTGTCTGTTCCACCTACCAATGGTGGAGCGAAGTATGGAGACCCATGCGGGAACATTCAGGAGGCACATACAGGGAATCTGGTTTGCAAAACGAAGCAGTAACAGAGGGGTAAACTCCCATAGCATGCACTACATCTAGTCAGTGCAGGGGAGTATCCTTCGGATGCATTGTAGCAAGCCATAAGGAGGGACAATATTCTGGTTAAGCTGGAAGGCAGGTACCACCTTCAGGAGGTAAGACACCCTGGGCCTCAAGACATCCCTGAGTACTATGTGACATTAGCAGTGAAATTATAGACCAATCCATTTGACTCTTATGCTTTTATTTTAACAAAGTAGATACAGCTACTCAGCATAAAGTGAAATAGTGATGTTTTCTGGCAGTGCAGTCTGAAGCCTGATTCTCAATGACATGCCATGGTGCCTACATGTTTAGTTTAGCAAAAAGCTGAAGCCAAAGTGTCAGTCTTCCTTGTAAGTTTAATATGTACGTTTAATGCTGTCCTTTCTCCCTTCCAGCTCTCTCCGCATATCCTGGCTGGACTGCATGAAATCGCCCATTGTGTGGAGAGCCAAAATTACCAGCAAGGTCTTGTTGTTCACTCACAGGTTGTCAGCAGCAGCAACTTCAGTGAAGTCTCCAGTTTTATGCCCATTTTGAAAGTCCTTATGACTATTGCCAGCAAGTTAGGTGTGTAGAACCAGAAAATCTTGTGGACATTACTATGATTCGGTTACGCATATTTGGCACTGGCGCAGCTAACCTTGTTGTACCTATGTGCTCATATACACACGTGAGCTGTGCACTGCATACGTCTACAGCTTCATAAAGATACCATTTTTTTTTCTTTTTAAGCTGAGCAAGGAAACAATGTAGAGCTATCCTAAATCTTGGGTGGCCTTGCGTATCAGCCATAACAGTTGTGCCTTGTTTGTGCCATTTACCACACAAGGCTTTACATTGAATTGTGACAAAGAACATAAATTAAAGGCCACCATCATCACAAGACAATCTTTATACCCCTTTGCTCCAGTGTGTGTGGTGTAGGACTAAAGGATATTTGAATTCTAAAGGATTTACCCCTAATACTGTTCAAGGCTTTTGTTTGGTTTGGGTTCTTGGTGTGGCTTCAGCTAGCTATAAGCATTATTTTTGAAGAACTCCACCTGAAACTGCTTAGCTAAGTGAGAAAGATGATGGGGGTAATCTGTTTTTAAAGCAAGCTTTTCTCTGCAGTCCCATTGCATAGATCTGGAACTGTAAGGTTCTTCTTGTAGTCCATTTCCTTTGTAACTCATCCTGGATTTGACTGTCAGTACTATACTGGCCGAGTTTATTACAGGCTGGTATTCTATTATACAGTAGCAAGTAGACTGCCAGGGAGAATCACAGAGGAGCGCTGCAGGGGTCAACAATATACAGAGAGCGCCCCCAGAAATAAATGTTCTTATTGAAGAGAATTCCAATATCTGCTTACAATTTCATATTGGTGGGGAAACGCTGTGCCTCAGCAGAAGCAGTGTCCTTGGGTCTTTTTAAAATATTATTTGCTGCTTAAAAACTTATGACCAGCGGTGTGAAGAACTTTTTTTTTATATTCTGTCTTATTTAATATGGTGTGGTTGTACTATAAAGAAAAATGCTCAGGTAGCTACTATAGTGTTCTTTCTTTAAATTATTTGTGTTATTTAACATATGTTTATAAAAGCACAATACAGAATAAACAGGCAATGGAAAAAAAGGTGTGCAGTAGGTATCCAGCTTGCAGTGTTTCACACACCAAATGTTTCAGTTTGTGTTTACTTACACCATTGCTGTGGATTTGGTACAAGTATGAGGGGAGCAGGAAAAACTGACACATGTGAATTCTGTTTTTTTTATGTTTTACTTTTGAAAGTTTGTGTTGATGGTCCCAAAGTAACACAAAAATAGCCAAGAACTGATTATTTCCAGTTATTGGAAACAAGGCTTTAGATTCATTCTACTGTAGCAGACATTTGGGCAGTACACCAACCTTTAATTCTTAAAATGATAGGACGCCTAGATGTGATATGATATGGCTTTTATTTTATCTTGGGGACATCAAGATATTGCTATGATTACTGGTTCTGTATCACCCATCTTGAAGGGTGTTCGATCCTCCTGCTGCATTATTTTTCTAAAAATCCAAAAGGGAGGGTGGGATCACTTTATAGTGGTCACAGCAGGTGTGCCACCCAGGAGCCCCAAGGTAGAGAGCTCACCAAGAGCGATTAAACCATTAGCTAAATAACCTGTACAATGGATACCAATCCCAAATTATTCATCTTGGATGGGCTGACACTTCAAGTGCTCTGCTGCTTGATTTGCTGCCCTATTCGTCCATGTTTCCATTCTTCACTCTGCTTGTAATTCTGATTAGTATTCTGAAGGTTTATAAGGTGGGATTTATCAAGAATGTGATGGAAGGAATAACACCCCTTGTAAACTCAGTCCATTAGTCATGTGCCAAGAGAATTACACTTTTCCTGATTGTGAAAGCCCAGAAAGGTTCCCATATTAAGACTACTGGCCAACATGTTAAGGTGCAATTAAACTCCGCTAAAAAAAAATTCTAAATGAGCATGCAGGAAGAAAACGCCATAATGTGGTAGTATAAACTCAGCTCAAAAAAAAGTATTCTTAACAAGCCCACAGGAGGAAAATGCCATAATGTGCTAGTCTCCCAATCTTTCTTCCAGGTTTATGTGGCTGGGCCACGATGATGTCACTCACACAGCACATAGCGGGTGCCATAAATGTACTGCGCCTCAGTGTACATCACCACTGATAGGCACACATGGGGAGTGACTTCATCACAGCGGGTGCCATAAATGTACTGCACCTCAGTGTACATCACCACTGATAGGCACACATGGGAGTCACTTCATCACAGCGGGTGCCATAAATGTACTGCACCTCAGTGTACATCACCACTGATAGGCACACATGGGAGTCACTTCATCACAGCGGGTGCCATAAATGTACTGCTCCTCAGTGTACATCACCACTGATAGGCACACATGGGAGTGACTTCATCACAGCGGGTGCCATAAATGTACTGCACCTCAGTGTACATCACCACTGATAGGCACACATGGGAGTGGGAGTGACTTCATCACAGCGGGTGCCATAAATGTACTGCTCCTCAGTGTACATCACCACTGATGATAGGCACACATGGGAGTGTACATCACTTCATAAGACTTCATCACAGCGGGTGCCATAAATGTACTGTCCTCAGTGTACATCACCACTGATAGGCACACATGGGAGTCACTTCATAACAGCGGGTGCCATAAATGTACTGCGCTCCTCAGTGTACATCACCACTGATAAGCAGGGACAAGTATTTATGACAGAAGAGACAATTGAAGTGACCTCTATCACAAAAACTCTTCCTGTCACTGTTTTTTTTTTGTTTACTATCACTTTAAGGTTCTCATTTACCCAGGTCATTATACCCCCTACTAGTTAGTCACATACAGCTTGATTTGTAATATTGAAGACATTTCACTGCTCAACCAATGCGCTTCTCCAGCTCCGGTAGATGTCAAAAACACACCTCAGCATTTATGGTGCAGTATGTTCCTGGCAATCATTAGAGCTGAGGAAGCCACTTGGTCAACTAGCGAAAGTCTTCAACTTTAAAGAGCAAGTCCAGTTAAATCTGAATAACTACTGCAAGGTATGCTGGGAGGCGTGTCTTAAAGCTGTTATAGAGGTGTTGCTTTTCACCAGAAAGTAGATGTACAAACCTAGCTATGAGCTGATTGTATATCTCTACTATTCTGCACTGACAAATCCCCCCCCCCCCCCACTGATCCTATAAGGACCCTGACCCAACTCACAGTAGGGCTGCTGGGGCAAGGAAATTACTGAGGGTTTCTAGTTGCATCCTTTCAGAGAGAGTGTGTAACGCTGAATTCCAGCCTTGCTGTTGATTTTGTACAGTTGTAGAGGCTCCTCTCATGTATTAGAATTGCTTACTCTGATTTCACTGCATTCTTTTAGCCTCTTACAGGGTGCATTAGAAGCTGAAGCTAATCAGATAGATACTGCCTCATTTCCTGGCTGTAGGATGTCAAGCATCATCTAGTTCTTTTCTCCCCAAACTTACTGTCCTTCATTCACCCTTTTCATTTATTGGATTTCAGCTCTGTCCATTATTGAGGTCCAGCATCACAAATGGGTATTACCCAGGGCAGTCTGTATGCAAAAACAGCCTGCCTAGGAATGCTTATGTCCCCAGACTGACAATTTTTCAGCCCACTGATTACATAAGGACTGAGTACTTTTATAGGAGTGCTTAAAAACTAGGTAAAAAAACCCTGAGCTGTGTCCCTCCCACCAGCCATTGATCTTCATGTAATGCATAGAGAAGCACAGAGACAAGTGATGACATCACTGGGTCTAAAATAACATATGAAATTAAATTAAAAGTTTTATTGAAAAGTGTAATTCAAATATTGCTGAGTGGGGATAGCAGAAACCATGGAAAGCAAACTATAAGCCAATTAAACTTTAGCCTTAATTTCCTTACACAAGTGTTTTGATTTGATTAAACCAAATCCAGTTTTTATGAATCCGTGATCTATTGCCAGAGCAATAAAAACATCAATTATCAATTGTTAGCAAATCTCTGTGTTCAGGCACCACCAATTGTTCATTTTTGTGTGTGTAACAGGCTGCAGATTTATAAAGATTGAAAATAACGTGAAATCAAAAATATATGAAGGCGTGTAAGATATTATATAGATTGGATTTAGAACTGCCAAACGTAACATGTAAATTATTCCATCCACATTGTATAGCAGGGAATGGGAGTGATGATATTTGTTTTAGTATTCCTGCAGCTTCACTGTTTTATATTTCAGCCTGTCCATTCAGATATAATGGTGCTCTGAGTTTCTGTATATGAATAGGCTTAAAGATGGCCATAAATGGATCCTTTTTTTTTTTTTGACCAGCCAGCTGATTAAAAAAAAACAAACCAACAAAACCAATCCCCTCCCCAATGCCAACGACTTCCCCCCCCCCCTCCACCCCCGCTGTTCCTGATTGGTTATCTTCAGGGTATTGGTGCTCAACACTGGTAAAAGTTAAAATCTAGTTGACTGGAGTTTTTTCTGATATTGCTGTTTGCATGTCCTTGTGTTGACTCTATGGACGTTTTTTAATAACCTAAAAAGTACAGTAACCCACAGCAAATGTGAATTTGTATTCCGTATACCATACATGGGCAGATCAGGCTGCACAATGCATCTTTTTCTCAAAGGCTGGCAGTCTTATTTACAATAATTTCCACCATTTGCTGTTATGTCCATAGCTGACAGATACATAGGGATTTTCCCAATCAGGAAAGGTACAATAGAAGTGGTAAGTGCAGTTGTCAGTCTTGATGATCAGAGGAGATTCTCACATTGAGCAGTTTTCAGCAAATAAGATAAAAAATATTCTCTGCACATAAAACCGGTAAAATGTATCTGATTGCCTCAGGCAACACTGTCATGCTATTAAGTCCTCATTGTGCTTATGAATGGGTTTCCTGCTTAACTAATAAACTTCTCCTGAACTACATGTATGCTTTTCCTCTGTGCCCTTGTGGCTATGAAGGGATTAACTCCAGCAGGCTCGCAGTTAATGCAAATACTTGAAAATC